GATAGATGCATGTTTGTTGTTCACAATTTGTATCTTTACCTTTTTCTTCTTCCTCTTCTTAAAGGATACCTTTCAGCATTTCGTATAATACTGGTTTAGTGGTGATGAACTCCTTTAGCTTTTCCTTATCTGTGAAGCTCTTTATCTGACCTTCAATTCTGAATGATAGCTTTGCTGGATAAAGTATTCTTGGTTGTAGGTTCTTGGTATTCAGCACTTTGAATATTTCTTGCCATTCCCTTCTGGCCTGCAAAGTTTCTGTTGAGAAATCAGCTGACAGTCGTATGGGTATTCCCTTGTAGGTAATTGAGTCTCTTTCTCTTGCTGCTTTTAAGATTCTCTCTTTGTCTTTTGCTCTTGGCATTTTAATTATGATGTGTCTTGGTGTGGTCCTCTTTGGATTCCTTTTGTTTGGGGTTCTCTGCGCTTCTTGGACCTGTAAGTCCATTTCTTTCACCAGGTGGGGGAAGTTTTCTGCCATTATTTCTTCAAATAGGTTTTCAATATCTTGCTGTCTCTCATCTTCTGGCACCCCAATTATTCTGATGTTTGTACGCTTGAAGCTGTCCCAGAGGCTCCTTACACTATCTTCGTATTTTCGGATTCTTTTTTCATTTTGCTTTTCCGGTTGGGTGTTTTTTGCTTCTTCGCATTTCAAATCTTTGGCTTGATTCTTGCGCTCCTCTGGTCTGCTATTGGGTGTCTGTATAATATTCTTTATTTCAGTCCGTGTATGCTTAATTTCTAGTTGGTTCTTTATCATAGCATCGAGGGTCTCATTAGTTTTCGTGACTCTCTCCTCAAGTTTATTGACAGCTTCTAGCACATTTTTGCAAGCCCTCAAAATTGCGATTTTTAGCTCTATATCCTCCATTTCTGTCATGTTTTTTTGTCTCCGCATTTTTTATGCTTTCTTGGTGCACCCCCTAGTGGTCTTTGTGCGCAGTCTTGTTCTAGTTGAGCCTTGATTGTTGTAGTTAATACTAGAGGGATTTGACCACCAGGCCGACTGGCTGTGAGAATCAGCTGTGTCTGCTGCAGTGGGAAAACTTCTGTCCTCTGGGGGGGCGCTAATCTAGCCTTTGCCTGCGGCGATCCGGCAAATGGCTCTGCGCAGGGCTTGGGCGGGGCGGGCTCAACAGGGCGGGCGGAGGGAGCCGTTATGGTGCCCTCAGTCCTGTTCCCAGAGGCTCTGCTTCTCAGAACCCCCGGAACCGCTGCAAACCTCGGAGGGAAAGCTGCCTTCCAACTGATGCCAGACACTCCCGCTTCTCCCGTTTGGGTCCGAGTCCCCAGCGATTCGCCCGTATCTGGAGCTCAGAGTCTGAGACTCCCCCCTGACCGAAAACGACAACCGCGCTCTCAGCCACCAGCCCGCTTTGCGCGCGCACCTCCGCACCTGAGTTTTTTCCACACTGCGCCTCCTCTGAGCCTCGGTGTGCTGTTATTTTTCCTTCTAGTTGAAGAGTCTCTCCTCAGCCAGCCTTCCTGTGGTTCTGGGTGATGTCCGTTCCGTCTTTTAGTTGTATTTTTGAAGTGGTTGTTTGCGGCAGCAGTCTGCGGTGTTTACCTATGCCGCCATCTTGGTCTCTCCAAGAGTTGTTTTTTAAAAAAAAATTTTTTTTTATTGATTTCAGAGAGGAAGGGAGAGGGAGAGAGAGAGAAAAATCAATGATGAGAATCATTGACCGGCTGCCTCCTGCACAACACCTACTGTGGACTGAACCCGAAACCCTGGAATATGCCCTGACCGGGAACCAAACCATGACCTCCTGATCCATAGGTCGATGCTTAATCACTGAGCCACGCCGGCCGGGCTGAGCAATCTCTTTTGCTGTCCACGTGGGCCGGGAGCCTTCACCTCCACTTGGTGCTTTCAGGATGGGTGTTATGGATTGAATGTTTGTTTCTTCCTCAGATCCATGCGTTGAAGCCCTGCCCCTAGTGTGATGGATGGCATTTGGAGGTGGGGCCTTTGCTAGGTGATTAAGTCATGAGGGTAGGGCCCCTATGAGATTAGTGCCCTATGAGAAGAGGAATGGACATCAGAGCTTTCTCTCTCCACCCTGTGAGGACAGTGTGAGAAGGAAGCCATTTGTAAACTAGGAAGAGAGCTCTCACCTGAACCCAGCCCTGCTAGCACCTAGATCTCAGGCTTCCGTGAGAAATGTCTGTCGCTAAGCACCCAGTCTATGGTATGCTGCTACGGAGCCCTGCTGACCGAGACAGTGGGAACTGCGGCTTGCATCAGGAGCCGGTTTATCGGCTCTAGGTCACACAGCCCTGGTCTTGCATCTCCAAATTCCAAACTCCTTGCTTTGCACCAGTGGGTGGGGATCAGGAGATTCTAAGGAAGGCCAGGCTGGCGTGGGGCACCGCCAGGGTGAGGATGGGGATGGCCCACCTTGAAGACGGGGCCCACAGTGGATGACTGTTGGTGGAAAAGAGGAGAGGCCTGCAGCTTGTGTCCTGAGCGAGCCAACAAACAGCGGGAGAGAGGACGAGGAATTGACAAAGATTCTAAACAGAAGCCCCTGGGGAGGCGGAGGAAGACCAGGGTGTGGTTGCTGGAAGCTACGTCAGAGCTTCAGGGAGGAGGCCACCCTGATTTTAATTCCTCTGGCCACACTGCTTGGTTCAGGTGCATGAACCGAGTCAGTCTAATTGGAGTACATCCAAGGCTCTTACTGGCATCACACAGAACAAGAAGCCAACTCTCTTCATGGTGTTGAGGTGGGGGATGAGCCTGGGGCTGTCTGAAACCATTTTACCCACCAGAGAGAACAGCCGGCACAGAATCAAAACCCCGAGGCACAGAGGGAGGCAGAGCCCAGTGACATCATTTCTGCCCTGGATCCAACCCTGCCTGAGACCCCGAGACGTTTAGCTTAGAAACCCCGAGACGTTTTTGCTTCAGTCAGTTTGAACTGGGTTTCTGTCATTTGCAACCAAAAGCGTTCTGACCGAAGCAGTCATGTGCCCCTGCTCTGATACCACCCACGTGTAGAACACCCCCCACTGCCAATCTGGGGCTCCTCCTTCCCCCAAGTTGAACCCCTGTTCCATGTGGCACTGAGTCCTCTTTCCACAGGGACATCTTACACACGTCCTTTATCTGAGGCTGAGCAAAGGGGGACCGAGCAGAAAACAATGTGGAAACACTGGAGAGGATTTCTCTGTTTGTTTATGGTGCTTTATTGTTTGCTTTAAAATTTTATTTTAAAAAGAATCATTATTTTAAATGTTTGTTAATTTAAAATGTTATCACTTATTAATGTGACTGTCTTTCTTTCTTTCTTTCTTTCTTTCTTTCTTTCTTTCTTTCTTTCTTTCTTTCTTTCTTTCATCTTTATTGTTGAAAGTACTACAGATGTCCCCTTTGTTTGTTTTTCCCATTGACCCCCCTCCACCCCACAGCCGCCTACTTATTTATTTTTTAAACAGGGGACGACAGGATCATACCTGTACTTTTAACCCCAACGGCCGTGGTAGAGGTGAACCCCAGGAGCTGAGGCTCCGGGGAGGGGGCGGGAGGGAGGGAGGAGAGCTACTGAACCCAGGAATGGCACAGCGTGGATTCAAGGGAAGCAGAAATTTCGAGTTGTGCCATATGGACCTTTGGGGTTGTGGGGAGAATGAAGTCAAGGAGGACTCCTGTGTGTTTTTCTTTCTTGCTAAAGTAACGGGGTGGACAGTGGAGAGCCACTGAGTCAGAGAAAGGTTGAGAGAGAACAGGCTCCCTCCCATCTTATTAATCTCTTGCTCTATTTACATGTTTGCTTTTGAAGGACATTTTCCCTCCATGCCTTGAAGCCACTTAATTCATTAGTTCTTCATCTTTTATGTCCTATTTCATTATATTATAATCTTCACAGTTGTTAATTTGCATTTCATTTCCTGCAGTGACAAAAAACAACAACACCCTAACCATGAAAAATGTTATTGTTGTGAATATTAATACAAGTCACAAATGATCACCATCCAGACCCCATTTCACATGGCAACGCTCCCTTTGTCAGAGTCTGGGAGGGTGGGGTAATTACCCAAATCAAGAGCTCTGCACGCCCCACGGGCTGAAGGAGGCACAGCCTGTCTCAAGCCCTGAGACACTATGAAAAGAGGCAGAAAAACCAGCGCTAGGAAACAGCCACACCTACTTTTGCACCTCGTGTCTCTCCTGACACAGATCCCCACATTGTCTGCATTAGGCGGCTCAGAGGCCCAAGAGGGACAGAGGGCTGCCACCGTGCCCCGGGGGTCGGGACGGCCTGTGTCCAGGAAGACAGACGGGAGAGACCTGGAATGAGGTTCTCCCCGAGGAGAGCCCGGGAGGGGAGGGAAGGGGAGATGGTGGATCAACTATTGCACGTAACCCAGCCTCTAGCCCCTAAACTCCTGTCCTGTTCTCTCCCGGCCCAGAACAGGACTCTTGCTCTGTGCCTCTAAGGAAAATTGCAATGCGGAGTCATTGCTCTGCCCTGGAGGCCAGAGAGGAATGATGCTTCTAACCCCTGCACGAGCTGCCTCAACATCTGGGCCTGAAGGAGCTCTGTGGCAGAGGGAGGCAGAGTCAGAGGGCACCCCCGCGGGGGCCCAGCGCTGTGCTGGGAGGCGAAGGCTGTGCATGCCATCCACGCTGTGGGCCTGTGACGCTGAGCAGTTTGGAGCTTTTGAAAAGGTGGGTCCTCAGAGATGAACCCGGCCCGGTGCCTAGATTGGGCCTCCAGGCCAGGACCTCAGAAATGGGGGGGGGGAAATGAGGGCTGTCTGCTGAAGCACCCCCCGCCAATCCTGGGACTTGCACAATCTTAGTCTTCAGAGTAGCGGAGCGCCGGAGGAAGTGACCTTGGGCCCAGCCCACCAGCCCCCAAAAGTGACACCGCTGTGGCCCTCCTGATCTCCACCAACGGCCAAACAGAACCGTAAATTCCGATTAGGAAAAGATCCGGTCGGCAATGACATCCACAAAAGTTTGTGATTAGTGAACCGTAAAAGCTAACATGACACGCTCATAATTGGGATGTATTTACTGCGTGGGAAAATGCCACGCTGCCATTTGGGCAAAGTGACTTTGAGGGAACTTTCTAAAGGAGACGGACACAACTTCCCTCTTTTGCTTACCAAACAGCAATAACCATTATTGATGGTGCTTTTCAGGTGGCAGCTACACAGAGAGAGGGGCTGCGATTTCCTGTCAGCACAGCTTATGGTGCCGTATTTTCCGGGTGTTTAAGAAGCCCTGCTCATTGGCGGCATTATCCTGGGTGATTTATGGACCCTCAAAAAGCTTACTTCATTTCAATGTTTTAGGCATTTTGCTTTTTTACAACAAACCTTATTCCAATATAATCAATGGAGGTTTCTTCCTCTGGCCTGGGAGGGGAGTGCCGTGTGAGTTTATAGCAAAATCAATGTGAGGATTAATGGGCAGGAGAAAAAGTCCACTGTCAGGCTGGGAAGAGACTTGCAGTCCCTGGCCCAGCGGCAAAGCCATCGGCAAAGCCATCGGCAGGTGCTCTCCTTACCGATCAGCCTGGAGGGACGTTGGGGACAACCCACAGCCAGGCAGCGGGGAGAGGGCTCAGCCACACTTTAATTAAATACGTTTGTTTATAAGGGACCCCCTGCAAGTCTCATTAATGTTTGATGCTGTTTGAATATGTGTTTTCTAATTAAAGTAAAAAATGATCCCCAAACGCATCAGTGTTCCAACATTTGCTTTCTGGGGGATGAGGAAGCAGAGCAGGAGCTCACAGCTGGGTTGGTCGAATGTCCCCTGAAGGAGACCTGACAGCCCGGGGCCTCCAGGGGAACCCAGATCCCATGCTCACCCTCGTCCCCTGGTCAATGCCAGGGAAGTCCCTGAATTTCCTCTGGAGACACGGAGGGAACCATAGCAGGTCACAGCTTCCAGGGGCCTATGGAGGTGGGAGAGGACGGGCCCCAGGGTGCAGTGCACTGTGAGGTAAATGAGGTCGCTTACGACAAGCAAGAGTTTACTTTTTTAGGAGAAGAAAATTATACTGGCCTCCTGAGGCCCCTCTGTGGGACTGAATTAGTGAGCACACGAAAGTTGGGGCTGGAAATAAAATCCAGCTTCAGTCAGAGTGGACGCCCATATAGGGAGAGCTCCCTCCTCCCCCACTCCCCAGTCCCATGAAGCACCCCCACTGGCCACAGAGAACACCGTCCCTAGTGCTTGATGGATTTGGTTCCGGCTCCCGGCCTTTATTTAAGGAGCCCCCACCCCCAATAGGCCTTCAAAGGAAGGTCACAGAAACGCAGGGCCACCCCTCCCCGCTTCCCTGCATCTCCTCCAGAGAGTTCAATCCGAATGGGCGGAGATCTTGTGAGGTCTGGTGCTATGCCAGGCCCAGTGCTGAGCATGGAGGATTCAGCCTTTAACATACAGACAGCTCCTTTCCTCAAAGAATTTACACCCTCATCTTTGTACCGGGCAAGCATTTGATTATCCCCTGCCTAGGGTTGGTGCCTGCTGATTTTGTGCATTAGAGTTCCAGCAGGCCTGGGGATTCCTAGAAGCTGGGGCCTTACTGCCTCCTCTGTGGTCCCTGCAGCACATCTGAGCCCAGGGCCAGACTCAGAGCAGGGACTCCCTTTACTTACTTGTTCTACCTCCCCCGGGGGACTCATTACCTGCTCTAAACTATAGTGACTCTGTCACTAGCCTAAGCCATGTGTAGCAGGGTGGCCGGCTGTTCACCAAAGTCCACAATTCCCTGGCTGTAGCAAAGCACAGTAGTTGAAAAATCCCTCACCTCCACCCCATGCCTCTAAGCAGGGCTGTGTGACTAGATACTTTTTGTGACCAGTTTTTGACAATAGACTGTAAATGGAAGGGATGCATGTTGCTTCCAAGCCCAGATTCCTCCTCCTTTCACCAGCTGCATTAAGATGACCACAGGCCATCGGAGATGGTGGAGCCACAGACAGAAAGATCCCGGGTCCCTGAATCACTGTGTGGAGGAAAGCTGTCCAGTTCCCTGGCACCATCTAATACCCTGTTGATATTCAGATTGCCCCCAAACATGCCTCATGGAGTAGTTTTTTTCACACTAGAATCCAATCAAAGACCAAGCATTGCATTTGGTTGATGCCCATGACCGTTTGAGAGGCTCAGCAGTCATGGTCAATGAGTCCTCTAAGCTTGGTGGGGTGGGGGGAGATGTTTGGGTACGGAGTTTGGCTGTGGGTCTGAGCAGATAATTATTCATTACTGGGAACAAGCACAAGTGAAACATCATAACACTCAGGGCTCCATCCCTGGTAATTTATGGGCCCCACTCATGGAGCACTTACATCTCTAAGTGCTTTGCATCATTAATTAGATATGCCTGGGAACCCCAGGAAGGGCGAGTCAGCTTGGCCAGGGTTACCTCTATCAGAGCGTGAGAAGCTGAGCTGTCCACTCAAGGTCACCAAGCTGGTCTGGGCTTGAGTATGGGCCTCTGCACCAAGAAAAGAGTCAGACTTCTCTCCAAGGGTAGAAGCCAAAGGCCAGGAGAGGGGCTGGGCACCAGCCTGTCCTGGGATGGAATTCCCAGGCTCAGGACAGATTTAGCCTCCTTCCCTGTTGGGGAGCCTGGCAGGACAGCAGATGAGGGCACCCAGGAGCAAACATAGGTTCCCATCAGGTCGAGGGCAGGACACCAAACATTGTAAATCAGATCTTTCTTTCTTTCTTTCCTTCTTTCTTTCTTTCTTATTATTTTTTAATATATTTTATTGATTTTTTACAGAGAGGAAGGGAGAGGGATAGAGAGTTAGAAACATCAATGAGAGAGAATCGATCAGCTTGATTTTTTACAGAGAGGAAGGGAGAGGGATAGAGAGTTAGAAACATCAATGAGAGAGAAACATCGATCAGCTGCCTCCTGCACACCTCTCACTGGGTATGTGCCTGCAACCAAGGTACATGTCCTTGACTGGAATTGAACCTGGGACCTTTCAGTCCGCAGGCCGAAGCTCTATCCACTGAGCCAAACCGGTTAGGGCCAGATCACACTTTAAATGCATAAAGGAAGTATGCTCAAACTCCAGGTGAATGCTTTCCCAAAGTAAAGGACCCTTTTGTTAGGTGAATAATTTGTCCCTGAAGTACCTGGCATCTAAAAATGGAGTTTTCTGAAAATAACCAGAAAAGTACAGGAGTTAAAAGTGTGGACCCCTGGATTCCAGACTCTGTCTCACCATAGGTGGCTTGCCTACATAAGCCTCAGTTCCGTCATCTATAAAATGGGATGGTAACAGTATTTATCTCAAAGGATGATATGAGAATTATCCTATATAATAAAAAGGTAATATGCAAATCAACCAAACAGCAGAACAACCAGTTGCTATGATGCACACTGACCACTAGGGGGCAGACACTCATCGCAGGAGCTTCCTTCTGGTGGTCAGTGCGCTCCCACAGGGGGACCACTGCTCAGCTAGAAGCCCTGAGCCTGACTCATGGCTGGCGAGCACATCCCCCAACAGCTCCTGGACTGCAAGAAGGCACAGACCGAGCTGAGGGGACCGCCCCCCCCCAGTGCATGAATTTTGTGCACCAGGCCTCTAGTATAAGATAGTGCTTAATTTAGTAGTTTGTACAAAAACAATAAATGTTGGCTAGCTTTATCATTACCACTATATTATTATCGATTGCCCAGATAAACAAAACAGACAATGACACAAACAAAACCGTGCAGGATTTAGCTGAGTTCCAAGATTTCCTATAGGTCACCCAGACTGTACTAAATAAAGCCTGGAAGAGGTCCCCAGGCCCAATGACCCAAGTTTGCATTCCTAGTGGGGTAGGAGGTCAGAGCAGGACGGGGTGCTTAGAGCTTGGGGAGGGTGTCTGGGCTGATCTAGGCACTGTCCATCACAAAGTTCCAGAAAAATCCCAAGCTTAGGTCTTGTCCAAGGTTCATTCAGGACTAGAATTTCTCAGGCTAGTACAGGACTGAGGCTTGGCCATGTTACTTAATCTCCCTTTTGCCTTCGTTTCCTTGTGTGTCAAAGATAATAATGTCCACCTCCCAGCATAGTGAGGACAGAATGAAATTCAGTGGAAAAGTGCTTTGCTCAGGGCCTGGCTCTGAAGTAGCTGCTCATGGTGCTAATTCGAGTCCTACACACTCCTCTAAGGTGGCCGCCATGAGTGAGAATGCGCTAGTGTGCTAGCATCCCACACCAGGCCCAGATTTCAGGTCAGGAGTGGGGAATCCCTTTTGGAGCATCCTCTTGCTGGGGCAAGTGGCCCTCTGGCTCTAGACACGCCCAGCTGTACAAGCCCCTTTCTGAGGAGCAGTTCTGGGTGCTTCTACTTAGATCACAGCAAGTCACCTTTGCTCTCCCTGCCACCTTGTTTTTCAAAGCAGTGTCCCAGTGAAGCAATTATTGTTCCAATTGCGCTGAAGATCTCTGCAGCTTGCAGCCACGCATGGGCTCTGCAGCATCAGCTACTCTCTTTATTTCTTCTCAGCCTTGCCAAACACCTTCTCCATTTTCACGCTCGTTGAGGGTCTACAAAGGCTCCAACAGCAAGGTCAGTGGACACTGGGTGAATAGCTTTCCTAAGAAAGGGCTTCCATGTCGTTCCAAGAGCCTTTGTGAAGAAGTCTTTAGTCCCACCCATGCTGGCTTTTTTTTCTTTATTTAAATAATTTTTTATTTTTAGTTATAGTTGACATACAATATTATATTGGTTTCAGGTATAAACTGCCAGTGAAGAGGCAGGGGCCATCGTATGTGTTGGAGATGGAGGCCCTGCCTGGAACTGTGGAGAATGGGGCCATCAGGCATCCCAACTGCAGGGGGAATAGTCACTGCAGTTATGGGATCTTGCACATGGAAACAAGCAGTGTGGGCAGGACAATCAATGCCCAACCTTCCTCATGAGCCTGTTCTCACTCCCAGCTCTCCCCAGGCCATCCCTCCATGGTGCTCAGCTGGCTCTGGCACAGTCCCTCCTCCTCCTCCTCCTCCTCCTCCTTCTCCTTCTCTTCCTCCTTCTTCTTCAAAATATATTTTTATTGATTTCAGAGAAGAAGGGAGAGTGAGAAAGAGATAGAAACAACAATGATGAGAGAATCATTGATCAGCTGCCTTCTGCGTGCCCCATACTGGGGATCCAGTGCGCAACCCAGGCATGTGCCCTTGACTGGAATCAAACCCGGGACCCTTCAGTCCACAGGCAGACACTCTATCCACTGAGCCAAGCCAAACCAGCTAGGGCCACAGTCCCTTCTTGATGCCCCATGTCCCCTGAGAAGCCGTCTCTGGCTAAAAGAACAGGGAACAACATGCCTTGTGGACTACTCTGTGCAGCTGCTCCTAGAAAGTTCCAGTTCCCAAGGCTGTGTACTCGGTGACTCCATAGGTCCCAGCCATTGCTGTGATGAACCTGGATCGACCTAGGATATGGGGCATGAGGTCCTTCTCACCTGGCTGAGGTGTATGTGCATAGTCTTGAGCCTCAGAAGAGGCTGTAAATCTATGTGGCTACAGGCTGCTTAGATGGGGAAGGGGGTCAGCAAGGGACCATTTCCTGACACAAGGCAGGACTTCCCCACCTGAGGCCTCCCAATTGCTCACCAAGTGGGATGCAATGGGCACCCAGGCTTAGAGGCAAATCCAAACCTTGGGGCAAGGATACCTAACTTCTCCCAAAGTGCCCGGCTTTAGAGCTGTCAAGACAATGATGTGTTTTTGAATACTTGTGCCGGGTGCCCCTGCAGGAGGACTCAGAACTGTGCTCTCCCGAATCAGAAGCAGCGTGACTGTCATCACATTTTGTTTTCTTCTGTCTGCATTTACATAACATTTCTGCAAAGCGCGTTATAATCATTTCATTAGTCATTCATTTACTTAATTGCTTAGCCTTCGTTCAGTTAGAAAATCTAATTTTAAATTCAAGTCGCCACAGAAAAACTTTTTTTTTTTTTAAGAAGGTGGAAATTTTGAGTCTCATCTCACCGCAGTTTCTGGTTCTGGAGCACCGTGTGACAGACGTTAAAAAGCAGCTGCAATGGTGGCCTGGTTCTAAGATCTAATTTTAAACGTCAGAGAAACCCTGCCGATCACCTTGAAACAAGAGGAGTGCAAGGTTGCTCATGGCAGTTAGACAGGCTCAGCTGCCGAGGGAGATTCGCAGGACCCCAAATCGTGATGTTGAAGAACCTACGGTTTATTGCAGGACAAGGATACGGCATAGCAACAGCCCTACAGACAGGACGGCATCACCGCTGAGGCTGCCTCACGCCGTCCGGAGAGGCCAGGCTTGAGCTCCGATGGTCCTCCCTGTGGAAGGGCTGGATGCACTTTTTCTCTTGGACCAGGAACCTCCAATGTGCACATGAAGCACCTCAGACTTGGTGCCTGGGATGGAGTCTTGGTTTCTTATACCCTCCTGGACACATGGAAATATTTCTCACTAGGGTCCCGAGCCTTTTGGAGGGCTCTTTGAGACCAGATGCAAATTATCAATCTCATTGTTACCAGCTGTCAAGCTGGTACAACGTTCCCGGGAACTCCTCGGACCCATGGCTGCAAAGAGGTGCTATGCATGTTTCCTGGGTTGGTCAGGGGGCAGTGCTGTGCGGTGTACCTCTTATTTCAGAGCACGGCTCCAGCCAGTATCGGGAACGCACTGTCCCAGCTCAGCTCAGCGAGTGTATGTGACCAAGATGAGGAGGGGTAGAGCCCCTGCCCTGACAGCGTGAGCCTAGGGAGGCACCCTGCCTTAGTCTCTTATTTGTCAATTGGCTCAGTGTTCAGGTGGAGAAAGGGGGATGTATTTACGCCGCCCCTGAACGTGGGCACCATGAAACAGTTCCTGAATTGAACTGAGGTGGGAGAAGAGAGTGTGAGGAATGGAGGCTCAGGAGAGGGAGCGGCTGACGGAGAGGAAGGGCAGCAGGCTCCCCAAGGACTGTTCTCCAGACCTCAGGAGAGCCCTGGGACAAAGGAGAAGCTACCGCAACAGTTCAGGGGGATGATCCTGGCCCCAGGGATGCCAGGTGAGAGCTCAATGAGGTCGGGGTTAAAGCAGAAGGTGGTCTGTTCAGTGCAGCTCCCATCCTGGGGTTCTCAAGATGCCCCCCAGCCCCTCCCAAAGGCCGGAGCTCTGT